CTGTCTGTGGAGCCACGAGGAGCTTACAAGACCCATATGGTGGGATCAATGAAACTCTCCGGGGAACTGGCTGTTCTTTCAAATGCCACCTCCCTAATCTCTCCATTTGTTCAAGTCAGATTCTTCAAAGCTCTATACATGACATGAGGTTGGCATGATTAGGAAAGGCAAAAGAAGAAAGTCAGGGACCAAATTCATGGACAGTTAACAAATCAAGGTTAGAACTGAAGGATACTGCTTGGAACTATAATTGTTTCCTTTAACCATAAGAGGAAAACACAGTTTCTTAATAGTTATTAAGGGCCTATTATATGTTGGATATTGTGCTGGACACTATGTCAAGATGCCTGCTCTCCAAGAACTTGAAGTCTATGAAGGAAAAAAGACACAACAGCAAAAAGTGACCATATATCCTAAGGCCAAGATCATTATCTCAAAGCGAGCACAACAGAAAAACACGAACCTGAGGATTTCACAGTATTTGCACAAAGATAATACTGTGTCCTGGGTTGTGGGGAAAAAAAAAAAAAAAACAGCTCTCAAAACTGACAAAGGTGTACAAGTCTGATAATCAAGACAAACTGACCTATATTCACAAAGAAGCCTCTTCACTAGAGCAAAAGAAAACACTCTACCCCCAGAAGTAGTGTCCTCACCGGCTCTCGATTCTCAAGTAGGTGCCATAGAAAGCTTATCTTTTTCTCACTAGCAATGCCAAGAGCATTCCAAATCAATATTTGAAATTCTTTTAAATGGCCGTAGAGTATTTTGTTATATGGATATGTCACAATTTATCGAACCAGTTTCCCCACTGGTGAGTGTTTAGGCTGCCTCCAGTACTTTGCCACCACAAATTAATATGCTGATGCTTCAGTAAGTGAGGTTTACTGTTATCTTTAACATGTGGAATAGAAAAGGTATCCCTACAGATTAAATAGCAGATTAAAACTAAGAAATAAATGCTGGAAGTGTACAGGTCCTTAAATCTGGTCGGGCAGGCTTGGGGAAGGAGTGCAGCCAGCCTGCAGAAGTCTGTCTATGGGAGAGACCATTATCATCCTATGTCATCTATTCATATATTTAGATAGTGGATAATATCACAGTCCCTGGGGACTGGAGTACACATGCTAATAGCCCAAAAGCACTAAGGAAAAAAAGAAGACATGTCGCTTTGCATTCTTTCAAATTATTACTTGTTGTACAAATGAAACTTTAACAAAACTATAATAAACTCGTGAAACAAAGAGATATCAATTCAGACTCAAAAAACACTTGTGTGCCTATGACTAGCCAAGTGCTAGAAGGTGAGTTTACACATGTCACGTAATCTTCACAAGAAAGTATTAGCGTTCCCATTTGTAGGTGAGGAAAGTGAGGTTTAGACAGATTGAATTCTGTGGGCAGGTCCCGTATGCTGCTAGTAAATTTCAGGGTAGAAATCTGCACCTTAGTTTCTCGCCATTTCCAAATAATCATTCTGTCAACTGTCCTATTACTGATGATTCCCAGCTACAACAGTAGACCAGCACTTCATTAAATTAAAGGGGAGGACTTGATAACTAGTGGCAATTACATTGCAGAAATAAGAAAGTCTGAAATGGAACGTTAAATTCAGTGTTGATTTGGGTGTGTGAAAAGAGAATATGGAACAACATTATCACACTTCACTTTATTTCATTGGAAGAAGTTTAAAATAAATACCATATTTTTATGGAACTGAAAACACAATCACATTTGTTATTTAAAACATAGAGAAAGCAAAGGAAATATGCATATATGCTTTAAATGTATTAATTGTATTTTGGCAGTAATTCTGAGTAAAACCAGAACTTAAAAGAGAAATCTCGATACGGAAGGATGACAAGTGATAAAATGGTACTAAAAAGATTTTTATTAAAGAATCACCAGAAGTCTATGTAGTAACTGTGGCCAACTCCTAATGACAGCTGCTTCTGCTGCTTCCAGTTTGTGGGCAGTTTTAAAATATAGTGTTTTATTTTGAAAAATTGCTTTAAACAGCACAGATGCCTAAGAATTAGGTGTTGTGTAATATGTCATGAAAAAAGGTCCTCCATCAGTTAGACTTCGGCTCCATAGTACTTGTCCCTGTACATCAGTGCCTTCTATTAATCAAGAGGGAAGACAGTCTCAATAGGGCAGTGGAGAGACTTGAACTGGGAGTGAGGGGGGCCTGGGTTCCTCTCTCTCCTTGGCTTGTTATTAGCTATGTAACTAATACGTCTTGATGTCTCTTTATAAGACTGGGATACAGCCTTGGTTATGAGGCTCAAATAAGATAAATATATGAGAAAACACTTTAAAAATGTGAGGCCTACTCATAAATTAATGATATATAATTTGGGTCGAAGAGTTAGATGCCTCTATGTATAAGACACTGGTGTCGAAGGCTAAGAACTTACATCTTGTCAAGTGATTTCAGTAGCTACTCAGATAGAGTTCAAGTGTGCTAGATTTAGAAGAAATGCACCAGGGCCTAAAATAAATGATTGTGAACAAGAAAGAACTGAATAAAAATATAACGACCATGTGATACACTACTAGGAAAGAATGGAAATCTCATTTAATCAGCTTATTCTGTAAAATCTATATGGTAGATGGTAAACAACTGAACAGAAACCCAGGAAAGACAGAACAGCTTAACTAAGGTCACTCATTAATGGCAGGCAAAATACCTGATTTGAACCTAAGTTGTCCTAAAAATGGTCTATGCTGATTATTAATAACATGTGTATAACATCTCACATTAAGAGAATAGGTTTCACCATACTCATTCTTGTCTTCATTAGAGGCAGACTAAACTCTAGGAAGATGAAGTGAAGGTCACAAACATGATCGAGACAAGAAGCCTGATTTTCTGGCTCCCACTCAGTCCTCTTTGCCATTACCATAGTGCTTACCCCCTTTCTCAGGATACTGTTATCACTGTTGCCATAGGTCAAGAAACTTTACCGGTGTGCTCCACAAAATATTTTCTTTTCTTTTTAACCTACCAGTTAGGTAAAAATCTCCAGCCTTTTTTCGTGAGACAATTTACTTCTTTGAGAGAGGGGCTTTGATCAAAGATGGTTGAGGGTTGTGCTAAATTTGAAAAAAAGCCTTAAGATTTCTGTAGGAGGAGGTGGTAAGGAAGAGAGAAGAAAGACCAATTTTAATGTTGTACTTATATCAAGCTCCATCCTTATGGTTCTTAAACCATTTTAGAAGGAAAGTAATTAATCATTAGTGGCCCCAATATTTCCATCATCCTTTCAGATGTGCTTACTCTTAATATAGTGGAGCCTTGCCTGAGTATGCCAAAGAAGAAATGGTCAGCCTTGAAGATCAGTGATTGCAAACATCCAAACTGGTGACTCCTATTCTAAAACACATCGGTGTTCCACTTATAAAATAGTTATTTGATGGTTTTTTCAGCAAAAGATTACTTAGACTGATCAATCTATATTTATTTAAGGCCTATGGTCTCTAAGTTGACTCACCTTTAGTGTCCATCTCCAAGATTATTACTATAAAAGAGACTAAAGATTCTTACACAATTGATAACGCTTAGAAGAGAGATTAAGTTTTAAACTAATACTTAGACTTTATGGTTGAAATATGAACCATGACAGAACTGCTTCTCAAACCATTAACCAAGAGCACTAAAATAATTTTTTAAAATTATTTTTGGACACCCTGACCTGAAATGGTGAAAAGAGGAAGAAAGGACACAACCCAGTGGTCTAGGGCAGACTCAGAAACAGGTCCAACTACACAAAAGCCTCTGTTAATTTTAGGGATGTCACCTAACCTCCACATTCTTCAGCTTTCCTCACTACAAGAATAGGAGTTAAAAACATGTGCTACCAAGGTCCTAAAGAAGTGAGGACAAAATGAGAAATTATGTTAATATGTAGTGTCACAAATGCAGATTATTCATAAATTCTGTTCAACTGTATTAAAGGCTGTAGTGAACTGGATACTGTAACATAAAAAGAGAAATGCTTTCCAAAGAAACCTATTTGCCAAAAAGAGTGAAAAAAACGGTTAAAAAAATTCTAAAGCTATTTTTATCAACGAGATGATGATATTTGGAAGCATTTCTATAATCCATGAAAACATTAAATTGTTTGACAAACAGCATGTCACCTTGGTCTTGGGCATTCTTTGACCAGTTAAAACCAGTCTTGTAGGTCTCCTTCCGCTCTGCTTATATTTGAGTTTTATTCATGTTATAATACATTACAAAATAAACTTTAAAATAGAATAAACATTCTTGTACCTTTTGAAGTTTTGAAAAATTTTCCACATTCTCTTAGAAAAGTTATACATGGAAAAAAAAATTTTCAAATATTTTAAATCAGAACACTTTGGGACTAATTCAGGATTCTGAGATAGTTTTAGAGGCTCTTTTTTGGGGAAAAAATATTTCTAAATGTAATAAAAATACATGTATCAATAAATCATGATTCATGTTATAGAAACTACATGTATAAACAAATTTAGCCCTTGCTTAGAAAATGAGATTTTAATTTCTTGTTTTGATTTTATTGATTTTTAAAATCATACCTTAATGTGACATTTACTTCCTCAAAATAATGACTGGTAACTATTCTACATTCTGAGGACTGCAAGCACATATCTATTATTATGATAATGCTTGTTGGCATAATGCTTTACATTTTTCCAAAAACTTTCACACAAAGGACCTTCCAACAGCACGAAACAGACAAGGACACATCGGCTGAAATTGCTAAGAGCCAGTCAGAATACAGGCCTCTGGTTCCCAGATCCGGGCTTTCCCAAGAGAGATGGCACTTTTTCCATCTCTGGTTCAGTGTTAAATATTCAAAAACTAAATGTCCTTAGAGGACAGGGAGTTTTCCATGATTCAATATCGATCTCTAAGCTTTGATGGTGGAAAAGTCCCTGGGGGATGATGAAGACCCTTGTATTTGGCAGTCAAGTTTAATGGTATATCTATTGGCGCCCAGTGCTCTTACCGTCCAGGTGGCCGACTTGGCAGTGCTGGACTGCTGGAAGGACACGTCGAAGCTGTGCGGACCCGGGTAGTCAGTGTTGGAGGGGATGGCTGGCGACGGCGAGAGGGCGTCGAAGGTGGAGCTGGGTTGCGCGTAGGGCGAGGGCGCCGTGACGCTGTTCTGCGCATGGTCTGTGTTGTACGGGCTGGTGGACGAGGAGCCATTCTGAATCTGCTGGTCCATGCTGTTCAGGAGCCCCAAGTTCGTGTACTGTGGCTGCAGGACACCCAGAAACGCCAATGTTAGCCATTTAAGTTGCAGATCATTGCTCCACAAAATGGCATCATTTGGTGTATGCATTCTGCAGAGCTCAACCTCAGGTCTGTAGCACTTCACATTCGAGGCCAAATGAGCAATTTGTAATACACAGAAACCAGAGAAGTTTCAGGCATGTGTGTTTTGTTACGACCTGCACAGATCACACAGCTCTTATATGCAGCCTTTGGAGAGTGTGATCTTCTCAAGAGCCTTTGAAAGTAGAATATGTGCTTATTCACAAACAGGACAAATGTGTCCAGTACTAAGTAGCTGCTGAGGAATTTTTAGAAATGAATAAATACTGCCTGCTTTTTCGTTTTTTATTTCTTCTACTGTGGTATTCAAATGAGAAAGACCACCTGGTAGATATGTTCTCGAGGGGATTTAAGCACCAAATTATTGTATATAGGACATATAATATATAGTTTTATAATTCTAAATTTTGTCCCAGGGTATCAAGAGTTTACCCCAAGGGCAAGTTTCATAAGAACTGGAGAGGCATGGGTAGCAGGGCCAGGGAGAGGCAACTAAATATTTTAAAAGGAAACATGCGAGTATATCAGCCAAACACAACCACATTTTTTTTATCTGTTCTTTCATTTTCTTTATAGCAGTTTATTCTTTTCTAGAGTAGAACATGTACAAGACATACCATTGAGTTATGAATAAATTCTATATTTGATATAATGCAGAAGTACATTAGCTCACATAGCTCTTCTGCCAGATGCGTTTATATGAATGGGCCCTACCACAGAGAAAGTACTCAATATGATGTTTATGGAAAGACTTAATTAATTTCTTCTCAGCAAAACAACTTTACGGTATTAGTATCATAGAGGGGAAGCAATTTGCTCAAGCATCGGATAATACACAGAGTAGGGATTTTGAAACCAAATCTTCTGATTCCGAGTCCAGGGCCCTGCCCTGCCATCACAACTGCCAGCCTGCTCAGATAATTCAAGTCATTCCTAAACCTGAGTCAAATCGGATACATTTCCTAAAGGGGCAACCAGCCTACGGCACAGTTTTCCCTTTGTAAAACCTTTTGACACATGGAAATCTCATTGTTTCTACCGGTTAACAAAGGGAAACCAAACCAAAAGCAAAGAGAAAGG